AGTGTTGTGAGTTCATCGGGATAAACATATAATTTTCCCTGGTAGACCCTTTTGTAAGGGACAGCACTTTGAATACACATGGCAATTGTGTTAAAAGAATCAGGCATATAAGCAAATGTTTGTCTTGTGCAGGTTTGCCTGTCACGTTATTTTGCACTGCTTCATGGTGATGAAAATAAAGAGAAATAGCCAACGAAATAAGTATGTTTGTGTGTGTGTGTGTGTGTGTGTGTGTGTTACTTAAGCTGAGAATATTTCCACTTTAAGAAACATTTTGTTGAAGTAATTACTCCAAGACATTTGACTCTAATTTGTTAGTCTCTGGCTTGTTTGTTTGTGTCCCCCCCATAGTTAATATTGTGAAGGTAAAGAGAGAACCCATCTTAACCCTCAGGGCATGAATGTTGTAGTAGGAACCAATTGAGCTGCTTCTGTTTCTTTAAAGGGTCACAGACAGCTGTTCTCTGACATGGCCAAGGTGTAAATTATTCAGTCAAATATGAATCAAAGCTGCCGTGTATATTGTTGCTGTATTACCAGATTTTAAGGAACATTGTCCCCAAAGAGTTAGCAGCTATCTTAGTTACCTTTTCTTGTTGCTGAAACAAAATGTCCACGCTCAAAGTTAAAGGAGGAAAGGCTTATTTAGCTCAGTTTGTAAAGGTTTCAGTTTATAGTTAGCTGGCTCCAAGGCAGGGGTGGGAGCATGGTAGAGTGGCATTGCAGTGGAGAAACAGCGAGAGTAACAGCAAACTAGGGAAGAAGCAGCAGCTAGCTATGATAACCCTCTTTCTGTCCTTATATTCCACCCAGGCTGCCCACCCTCAGCACTCCTACTCAGGGTGGGCCTTCCCATTATCCATGCCCAGAACTATGCCTAACCCATCTGTGGACTAACACATCCTGGTAATCCCAATATCGCACACCCTAGATGCAGTCACCTCTGAAAAGCCCCACTGTGTGAGCGCGTGAGGCTTTGGGAAATGTCTAGACAACATGACAACAGCCAAGTTCAGCATATAAACTTCCAGGGTTCAAAGGAGGTCGAGGGTTTGGTCATCATCAGGAGCTGATTCTGATGGATGTTAGAAATTCCAGCCTTGTCAGGGCTGAGTAGCAGAGTGTGAACTGTGTTTTTAAGAACTTGTATTTTCAGTCATGATTGATTCTACTCAAGGGAGCGTAGTATTTTAGACTTTTATTTTGCACCATGCACTAGTTAATACTTTTACTTTGCTGCTCTTGTTTAGTAGACTCAGTAGTATCTTTGGTTTGCAGCCCATACGTGGTGGGACCCAAGCCATGAAATGGCTTTGGCCTTTTTTTTCCCTTTGTAGGGAAGAGTTGTCTCTTCGTCCACCAAAATATATAGAATCCTTCGAAGGAACACTGTTTCTAACTTGGTGTGAAATAGAACTGGAATTCTTAATTTTTCCTTTATCATACAGTCTTAGCAGAATAGGGACACAACATAAAAGCATGAAATTTAAAAAAATCGTTTTAAGCAACGAATAGGAGTTACGAAAAGTTATCTTAAAGTTCATTTTGAAAAAACAGACTTCCTTAATAAAACTTTGTGCTGGGTTTTACATTTTGATGTGAATTAGTGATTTGAAGGGTCAGGTCATGACTCTTCAGGGTATAGAGAAGGAATTTCAAAGGACACAGATGATCTTGTGGTCTCTGGAGCATCAAGTCACACCAAGTCTGGGCTAGCTCTGGGCTGTAGTCTGGCTGGGACTGGTACTCTCAGCCTTGGATCAGCCTGGGGAGGGGGGCCATGTGGACTTGCCTGCGGTATGGGTGCTAGCCCACTTGGTCAGGAGGGCAAGACCTCAGGGCAGCAGCTTGAGGATTAATAAGCTCTAAGGCAGGCGGTCTCATGATCATCACCATGTTGACCATTTCCTTGGCAGCAGAGCAATTTTTCTTGGTCTACAAAAATTTTTTTTTCTTTTGGCTTGGATTTGCCTCCTGCGAGGATTTTTCTTCCCCCTCTGGTCGGAGCACAACTCTGAGGGGGATTTTAACATAGATTTATGTGGAGGCCTGAGCTGCTGGCAGCTGTTTTCTGCAGCACTGAGTCTGGTTGAAATTCTCAAAGACGGCATCAGTAGGAGTGTATTAGAAATGCAGAGCCTTGCTTCTTTCTCCAGACCCCCAGAGACAGAGCCTGCATTTGTTAGGAAGACAATGGTGACTTGGCCCCCACATTAAGGTTTGAGCACCTATCTGACTGATCTGACTTTTCTGCTTGAAATTCTCAAGTCCTAATCTTTGTCTGCTTCCTGTGTAGCTGGTGCAGTGATGCAGTGGGAGGGGGGACTCCTTCAAGGCAGGGATCTGCATGCATGGGGCTGGTCATTTAGCGTCTTGAAGATGAATGGCATCAGTGATTTTTGTAGGATGTATTTTATTGTGGTGTTTTCTTATCTTGGTAAAGGCCCAACATGGATTTTATGTAGGATGGTTATATAGCATGGCTCAGTGTCTGATACTGTTCCCCTCCAATCTCATGAGGTAGTTATTTCAACTCCCACTTTTCTGATGAGGAACTTAAAGTACAGAGAATTCAGGACTGATACTGATACTGTTCAGCAAAGATGCAGGCTCTCTGATTTTAGAATTCATTATCTTGACTACTCCATACTCTCCATAGTTTATAGCTTGTGAAACAGGGCCAAAACTTATTAATGAATAGACGAGACCTTATTCTTTTGAGATCCCGGATGTTCCTTGGAACTTGCATTACTGGGAGTCAACTAGGGTTAAATATAAATATTCTGAGTAGCTATGCGTCTTCTGTTTCACTAGGGAACCTGAAAGAATGTTCTTCACAGCTGTAAATTCTCATCTACAAAATCTCTTTATCAAATATTGTGTAAATGGGGAAAGAATTTTGGGTTCTAGTTTTAAAAGTATTTTTAGAGCTGCAAAAGAGAAAGAGCTTCATTGGAGCAGAGCCTATCTATCTGTGCACCTTGTAAGATCATGGGACGAGTTGTGGCTGGCGTGTTTGCTTGGACCGGCTCAGTACAGAGGATGAGTCTTGTGTGACTTTGTTTAGAGGAGCAAAAGGATGTTTGTGTGAGGGTCTCTTGTTCTCTAGAACGGTCTTCCAGCAGGGACCCCGCTGGAATAGGGACTGCATCATAGAGATCATTTAATGGTTTCACTCTTTGCTTCATGGGTCTAATATATCCATGCACTCTATTCTCATGCCTGGTTAGATTAATTTGAAGGGAAATTTAGAGTGCTATTGAACACAGTATGAACCTGCATTCTCAGCTTGAGGAACTTCCTGTGTATGTAGTTTCTTGACCTATTGAAGAGGCTTGGCATAGCTTAATTCCCTTTCTTTCCCAGAGAAATTGAGAATTGGGCAAAAACTTAGAATGAGTTGGAAAAATGATTGGAGAGAGGCCCACTTAGATACAGAGTGCTGTATTTGTCTTATTTTCCTTTGGTAGGTCCACTTAATAACACACCATTTCTGGAGTGAAAAAGCCATTTCTATCATGATGTCCCTGATCTTTATCTTGTTGCCTGACTGGTTTGAGGGTATGTTCCTCTTGAGGCCACTGAGATACTTGCAGAGGCGTTGTCTCTTGGTTGAGCACATTGCCTATCCTTTTTACAGGAAATACAGAAATATTGTTAAAAAACAAAGCCCCTTTCCTAACATCTTAAAATGGTGGCTAAATGCATTTAAGTCTAGATAAACTTCACTCTTTAAGGGCCTTGATTGTGTGTATGTGTGTGTGTGTGTGTGTGTGTGTGTGTGTTTAATTTTGGTTCTTATAGCATCTTATTGATACTTAAATACACTGACAAAATTTTAAAGCCACATTCCCCAGTTTTGGGTAGTATTCTTCCCATATTGTGACTTGGAGAGATTTAGATAAGCTGCTGTAGGAATTAGAGTATTGCAGGTTTAGCAGTTTCTACTGTATCTGGTCTTTGTGCATACACACATACCCGTGGTAATTTTTATTGGCTTATCTGTAGTTAAGAACTTTGGAAGGTGTATGATCATGTTATCCAAGTCATGGTTCCTGGTGCTAAATAAGATTGTGATTCTTGATTTTCTAAAATTATCTACTCTGGGATTATTAAAAGTACCTGAGAGGTATTTGAGTGCTGTGTAATGAACACTATGTCCATTTCTTCAGAAACTCTTCTAGTAAGATGATGTGGATCCTCCTGTGTTCTGGCTGTGTGCTATTTGGTTCTCTTTTCATCTAATTTGGAAATTTTACACAAGGGTTTTGTCTGTCTTGTCCTGAAATTGCTTGTTGTCTGAAGTCATAAGAGGATGCTGTTCCCTTCCTCTATCTGCCCAGGCTTGCTCTGCTCTTTTCTCATCATGTGGGTTGGAAACTACAGCCCTGAGCATCTGCAGAATATATTCTCTGGATGTCCATATTCCCTTTCTTGCCCTAGGACTGCTCACTTGAGTTATGTCTGTGTTTTAGATAGGCTGGCAGAGACTAATATTTGTAGCATAATATTTTGGGAGAAAATAGATTATCTTTTTCTTTTTGGTACCAGGGATTGAACTTCAGACCTTGCGCTTGAGAGGCAGGCAGTGGTGCCACTGAGTTAAATCCCCAGCCCATAAAATAGATTATCTTAAACAGTGAGAAATGACTATGTGAGTAACCATCCAGACTCTTTGGAGGTAGAAGGTCGAGGCCTGAGATTGACTGGATCCCCACAGCTACCTTTAAGACAGTCTTTTCTTTGGAAAGATTTAGTTTGGTGCCATGCTCACCATAGGTTTGTGTGTGGACTTTATAATCTACTGCTAGTCAGTGTTATCAACTCTGGATCCTTGAATGTTGGTTCATAATGTATTAATAAACATCTTGTATGCCTTGGGGTGGTTGTTACTAACATGTGTCCATGGGCCAGGTTGATGGGTCCTCCAGAGTCACCAAGTTCTTAGTGGCAACCTCTGATTATTTAGGTCCTTCCTGCAGTACACTCTGTCTTATCCCATGCCACCTACCCCAGTTTCCAAGTGTACCATCACAGACCTGGTCATCAGCTCAGCTTGGATGGTAGGAGCACATCAGTACCAGCAGTGCGGAGAGTGAGAGGTAATGAGGATGTCTGTCCTAGCACCGGAAGCATTAAACCATTACTTTTCCAAAGAAGACATATCCTTCAACATAAATTGCATTTGGGATCTTGTTTCAGCACCTGTGATTTTGTGTGTTGGCCATCTAGTACTAGAAAGAATGGAGCAAAGCCATTGAGAGAGATACCAGAAGGGACAGGTGAGTACCCCATCCTGTTCCGGAATGCAAGCAAGATTAAACATTGCTTTCTGACTTCTCTTGCTCTTTGCCACACCTGACATCCCACAGGTGAAACACACTACCTTTTATTTTCTTCTTAGTAAGGATTAATGCTGTGTTCTCATTTCCCTCTCAGTGTGACATTGTGCGGTTGAACGTGGGTGAGAAGTTGGCTGGTGCTTCCTGCTTATGCCTTGGCTGGTTGCTAGGTGACCCACAGAGACCTGCTCTATAGCTCTGGCCTCCCTCCTCCCACCTCCTCACATCTTGGCCTGAGCCGACAAATAACCCACCATACTTGGGAAGAGGACAGCTGCAAGGAGGAAGTGTTTGATTCAGACTCTCCTTCTATTATTTAGCCTAGGCAATTACAGACACAGCCTTTTGTGTATCCCACGTCACTGCCTCCCACCAAAGGCTACCCTGCTTTTAGAGGTTTGGAAATGTAGCTTAACTCATCTTCAGTTTAAAGTGAATTATTAAATTTTAATGTTTAAATTGATGGATGTATTTTACAACCTTTATTTGATTTCTCTTAATTGATTTTTTTTCTCCTTTCCCCAGTAGATGAGACATTTTAAGGGAGAGAACTAGACACAACCCCTCTTCTTGAGGATCGAAATGAATTCTGAAAGCTCTTCATATAAGCAAATAAAGTGATCAGGGAACCATTATTATGGTTATGCCTGTCAACAGAGAGTGGATGGGATCCCTGAGTAGAAAAAATGCAGCCCTGGGAGGGGAAAGTGAATGCTAATGCTGGTTCTGCTACTGCTGATGAGAAATGGGAAGCATAAAGGAGGTACAGATGTGAGTCAGCTCTTACCCTGTGCTTCCCCCTCTCTCCATCTGGCTTCTTAACTTCCATAGGCAGAGATGACTCTGCTGCCTTCTTATTTAATGCTCAGGGCTTGTCTGTTAGTATGTGTAACACCTCGTCCTCCTGTCTGGGTCTGTCTTGATCACCAGCCTCTGAGTTGTGGCTGGAATTGCTTTTTACCAAGACTTGGGTTCCCAGATGTGGAAGTTAAGGTGTGTGGTGGGGAGGGCAGAGCCTGTGGGTATACAGCCTTACGATCAGAAAGTCGGTTAGCTGATTCATATGGAATGGTCTATGTTCTTGGTTCTGGAACTCTTAAATCCTGAAGATTGGGCCCTCTGATATTCAGGGTCTTTCTGAGAGACCCCAAAGCCATCTGTGACCCATGCCAGCCACTTGGGTTTCATCACTTCATAACTGTATCCGTGTTAAGCAGATTAAGCATTACTTGGTAAGAGCTAGTTTTTTGTTGAAATAGGACAGAACCTGAGCTTGTACTTAGGTGAGCTGAAGTGGTAGATAGGCCCGAACCTGAGCCCTGATCTAGGCAGTGAACTGGGCCACTTTTAAAAAAAATTTGTGCTTACAGATTCTGTAGGTCAAGAATTTATAGAGGGACGTGGAGGTATGATAGGTGTCTGTTCCATAGTGTCTGGGGACTCCGTTGGAAAGACAGATGATGTGGAGGCTTCTTCATCCCTGTCTGCCACTTGGGCTGGGCCTGCTCTGTGGCTTCTCCTCGCGTGAGCCTTATGCCCTGGATGATGGCACTACTCCTTGGTGCCTCAGGGCTCCAAGGGCAGATGTTGTGTCCAGTGAGAGAAATGCTATCTGCACTTCATGGTCCAGTCTCAGAGGGTGCCTGGAATCCCATTTGTCAAAGTCATTGCAAGCTCACCCGGAGCCCAGGGCAGGGAATGCACTGTCAGAATTTACAGATGTTTTCAAATGGTCCCATGAGTTGCTTTCATCACATATACTTTTACTCTCAAGATAAAAGGGGCCCCAAGCCAAAGTTAGTCAGGGGTCTGGCAGATCACATTTTCTGTTGCAATATGTTAAACTTTGTCCAGAACTTGGAAATGCTGTAGCGGGAAGGCAGTATGCTTTTCAAAATCCTGTTGAAGTATTGTCTAACAAGCCCCTTGCAAATTTTTCAAAATGTAGGATACACACTTTTGTTTGAGTCATTTTGCTCTGTTGAATAGAGGTCCAGATTTTGGGAAGTTAGCTGTTAACTTGTAGAGTTCTGTCTGGTAGAAATGCAACTGATTTCTTTTTACAGAGAAGATAATTTCAAAGATTTCATGGCCCTGTACGACAGTAATGTGTTTTATATTTAACATAGCAGTTGTGTGTAGCCATTAGCTTTGCAAATGCTCATAAATCCTTCAGTGATCTTTGAATCAAATTTACCAATTGCTGGCTTCTTGTTTAATGGGATGAATACATTTGTTGATGCATATTCATCCAATTCCTTTGCATGGGAATTGTTTTTTAGGTTTTGAAGATTATAGTATAATAGGCAGAGAGCACATGGGAACTGGCTTTCCTGCTGCTGTTTGTCTTGAACCAGACTTCATTAGTACTGATGTTGTGTAGATGGGAGGCAAAGGTTAAGATACTGTCAGGTCAAACCTGGAGGAATCCCTGTCTATTTGAAGGCTTGTAGGCAGGGCTGATTTTCTTGTACTTGTGGCCTGTCTGTTTTAAGTCCATCATTTTTGCATTTGTTGCTCTGTAGTTATATCTCAGCAGCCATGGATGTTCAGCGGGAAGTCTAGGAAACAAGTGGGGTGCAGAGGGATTAAAGATGAGTCAGGGCTTAAAGCGGTGAAAATACCGTAGAAGTTTAAACTAATGTCGAGAATAAACCACACAGTTGATACTATGCTATATTCTTGTGTGTGCCTGGGAAACAGGATGTTTATGAATTAAGTGATTTCCATTTAATTCAGGGATAGCATGTGCTTTACCTGCTTTAATCAGTTACAAATTATATTGAATAGTGACTGCCGGTCTTGGGTGCTGAAGACATGAAAAGTTCTCAGCATAGTGTGCGAGGCTGTCCAGCTTTCCACAAGGAATGTAGTCATTATGCTCTGCACATATGTACTAATAAACACCAGAGGATAAGCAAGAGTACATAATGATGTTCGTAATATGCCATAACACTATTTGGGGTGCACAAGGAGTGTTAGGTGAGCAGATGGAATTTAAGGGCTCTTGTGAACAGAGGGTGGGATATGGGTTTCCCAGACCTTTCAGACCATGGAGGACATTTCCGGTCTGGAGTGCCTGTTAAGTATGCTTTAAACAGTTTGCCCTGAAGAGAGGACTCTATTTGATGGAATGGTGTTTTGCCTCTCTGGAGGGGGAGAGTCTTGCTCTCAGTTCACACACACGGAGTTGCGAAGGGAATTTTAAAATCATATTGTGAAGTGTAGGAGGTACTAAGGAGATGAGATCTTGATTATACTAAGAGTGTTCTAGGGGTTTTTCGTTTTTTCCCACCAGGCAGCCATCATTCAGGACGTGGGTCTCCTTGCTCTGTTAGGGAGGAGGTGGTAGAGTGTATAAAGGGAGAGGGTCTCTACAGTAGCAGACAACTGCAAATGAGCCAGCATCTGGGAGGTGTGCTGACTTCTGCAACTCAAGGTTAAAACTGCCAAGCAGAAGGAGGGTGAGTTAATCATCTCCTCTGCATGGGAGCGGGACACTTAAGGACACACTGGAGAAAAAAGTGACAGACAGTTGTTACTCCGTCCACAAGCCGGTAGAGAACCTCCCTACACATGCACAATTAGTGGTTTTCATGTGCTGCTTGTAGATTTCTGACAGTATTTGGTCACATTTAAGCCAGTCAGTTTCTCAGATTCATGGAGTTCATTCAGGAAATGGGATTTTTGGTTTAGATTGCAATGTCCCCAAGACACACGTTAAGTGGCTCAATGCATTCTAGCAAACACTCGTTTGCCTATGAAGAGCACCCATTTATTCTAGATTGGCAGTAAAAGAACACTTATTTAATTTGTTTTATGGCTTTACTACTTATAGGAGAATGGTAGCTCCTGTTTTTATACTTATTAACTAAGCTGTGTGATACAGCTAGGTAGGAGAACTTTTCAATTAAAAAGTGTCCCTTTGCAACCCTTTAAAATCGGAGCAAAACAAATCTTGGTCTGTGGTGTATTCTACCTGGAATTACAATCTCTTAGGAAATGAAAGAAAACAGCTGTTGTTGCTGTTTCCCTGAATTGGACCAGGGTTAGATTAAGATGAGAAGTATAATGACAGTCTTAAATTTTTTTATAAATGTTATCATAGTAGAGCATCCTTACGGTCTGTATCTGTTGCTGGGAATTGATGGTCACGAAGCAGGAACTCATGTAGTCAGAGCCCTCTTCCATCACTTAACACGAGGGAGTTTAAGTCATATGTAAGGGGGAGATGATGTGAGAATTACACAAAATCTCCTGTAAAGGGATGAGCCAGTTCTAGTCATACAGTTTGTTTGTTTTTGCTACCGGGGATTGAACTAGGGATCTTGTGCTTGTGAGGCAGGCAGTGGAACCACGGAGCTAAATCCCTGGTCCCGCTAGTTGTATAGTGAATAGTCAGAACATGGGTTGCTGCTACCCCATCACTTTCCCTGGTAAATCCAACAATTGTCATCAAAGATCAGAAGGATTACTGTTACCAATTTAAAAATATTTAAGGGATCTGATGTTTTACTTTATGAAACCTACAAATAGAAGTCAGTAAATTCTTAGAATTGATAGAACTACTTCAAGTAAAATTTTAAGTTTCAGGAGGACTAAAAATACTCTCAAACCCTTCTTAAACTTCCTATGTTGTCTTTTGGCAAAACATTATTTTGTTATATTTTCTCCCTTCTCAAAAGATAAGATGAATGTCGAATCTAGCAAATTGCTCTTATTTGTGGGGTAAAAAGAAATAACACAGGCAACACTTAATTTTGTTCTAAATAGTTCATGGTGTGTGTGTTCAGCTCAACACGTAACTCACTACAACAGGCACATTCCTGAGGAATGGCTTAGCTGTTGAAATTATTAAGAGAGCTTGAAGGTTAAATTTTCTCCATTCTGTGCAAATGTCCAAAGCACCCTTTTGCTGATTTTTTTTGAGCCTCTAAGAC